AATCTCAATCGTTCCGCCGCTTTTCCCGCTGCTGCCCAGAGGCCCCGCCGCCCCCCGCACGAGCGCCCGCGGGATGCCAGTAGTCACCTCCTCCACCTCTGCTGACGTGGTCAGCTGCCGCGCCGCGCCCCTGCCAGCTGGCACGAGCGCAGTCGACGTTCCGGAAGCCTCCGCGCTCGCGCTTCTCCTCGCTTCCGCCTCTGCCTCCTCCTCCTCCCCCTCCCACCCCTTCCCCCCCCGCCCTTCCTTCCCCGCCGCGCGCTCCTCCTCCATCAACCGCACTCTCTCCTGCACCGTCAGCCGTCCCCCCCTCCCCCTGCCTCCGCCCGCTCCCTCGCCCGCCGCCCCCCGACCCCCTACCCTCGGCACAAGCGCGCCACTGGCGCCCGCGCCCCTCCCCGCGCCCCTCCCGGCGCCGTTCCCCGCGCCGCTGCCAGCGACGGCGAGCGGGCCTGCGGTGGACCAGCGCTTGCGCGCAGGCGCGGCAAGAGCCGAGGAAGTGGTAACGGCGGCCGCAGCAGGGGGCGCGCCCCTGCCCCTCCCCGCCACCACCAGCGCCGCGGACTGCACGCCAGCCGCAGCCGGTTCCGAAGCAGAGGCGGCAGGTGCGGCAGAAGGGGCAGCAGCTAAGGGAACCTCAGCAGCGGCGGCGGCGGCGGCGGCGGCGGCGGCGGCGGCGGCGGCGGGCGCGTTGCCGCGGAAGCGCAGCATGAGCGCGGCCTCCTCCTCCGAGTCGAGCAGGCGCGCCTTGCGGCGGCTCTTCTCCTCGATCTCCGCGCGCTGCTGCTCCTCCTCCGCCTCGCGCAACATGCTCGACAGCATATCGTCGTCCCCCTCCCCCTCCCCCTCCCCCGCATCCTCCCCCTGCCCTGCGTCCCGCCCTACACCATTGCACGCCATCATGCCTTCACCCACCTCCTCCTCCTCCTCCTCCTCCTCCTCGTCCTCGTCCTCGTCCTCCTCCTCCTCTTCCTCCTCTTCCTCCTCCTCCTCATCCTCGTCTGCGTGAGAAGACACCTCTCCACTACCCTCCATCCACTCGCGCTCACTCGCGCCAACACTGTTGCTGCCCACGCGGCTCGACGCCTGGCGCGCGGGGCTAAGCAGCCCTTCCGCCACGCCCAGCAGCCCCCCCTCCCGCCCATCCTCCCCCTCCTCCCCTTCCCCGTCCTCTCCGCCGCCAAACCCGTCGAGACTCCCCGGCGCGCCGTCAATCGCGCCGGACTGCATGAGCAGCTCGAGGAACTCGTCGGATACCAGATCCATCTCCTCCTCCAAACCCGCCGCATTCGCCGCCGCATCCCCCGCCGCTTTCACAGCCCCGTTCGCCCACTCGCGCCCCGGCGAGTAACCGTAATCGTCGCCGCCAGACAGCCCTTTCGCGGACTCGTCCCCCTTCCGCTCCGCCACCTCTGCGCTCCGCTCCTCCTGCAGCGTCCACTCGAACTCAAGCATCGCCTGCGCCATGCGCGACCGCCCCCCCTCGCCCGCGGAACTCGCGGAATCGAGCGACGCGTCGCGGCCACTGGTGGTCGTCGTCGAGGTGGTGGTGGTGGTGGCGACGCTGCTGGTGCCCGTGCCTGGGTCCACCCGCACCGTGCGCTCCTCCCCCGAATCACTCTGCACCGCATAACCCCCCATCACCTTCTTCACCTCCACTCTTCCCCCTTCTTCCTCCTCCTCTTCTTCTTCATCCTCGTCGTCCTCTTCGTCCTCGTCCTCGTCATCGGTTTCCTCCTCCTCAGCATCACTCTCTTCTTCGTCTTCCTCTCCCTCTTCCTCCTCCTCCTCCTCGTCGTTTAACCCCTCCCCTTCCGCCAAAACATCCGCCAAGTCCACCGCGTCACCCTCCCCCTCCGCCTCCTTCTCCGCCGTCCCCCCTCCGGCTCCCCCTCCGCTCGCCCCGCCCTTGCCGTCTGCGCGCGCCTGTAACCCCGCCGAGCGCGTATCCTTCACCGCAACCTTCTCCTTCTCCTCCTCCTCTTCCTCCTCCTCCACCACCGTCCGCATCGCGCTTCCGCCCGAGATCATGCGCATCAGCGGGCCCGCGCGGGTCCCGCGCGCGTCCCCCTGGCTCCGCGCGCTCTGCGGCGCCGCGGAGCGATCCGACGGCGCTTGGTACAGGGAGAACGACAGCTTCTTCTTCTGCTTCGGCGAAGCTTCGTCCTTCTCGCTTCCGCCGCGGGGACTCGCCTGCGGGCTCCCCGGAGGGCTGCTGGTCGGCGATACCGCCGCCGCCGCCGCCGCGATCGCCGTCGCGGCGTACAGGCGGAAAGACTTCGTGTCAACTCGCGCGAGGAACGTAACGCCGCGGCCGAGTTGTAACTCGTACCCGAACGTCGCGACCATGACGGCCCCCTCCGCCAATCCCGCGAGCTGAAAGCTCAGCGTCATGGGCTGCCCCTCCTCCTTCTCGTGCAGCGACGCGGGCAGCAGCTTCGCTAGATCCACGGAATGCCGCCCAAGCTCCGCGACGTAGCCAATCCCAGACGTCTTTAACATCTGCACGCAGAGCGTCGACGGTTTCCGTTTGAACTTCACCGTCCCCTGCGCTCCGGCGTTGAAGAACATCGTGCACGACATCGTGAGCGTCTGCTCGAAGCGCGCGACGCCGCGGTGCACCACCATGGGGCTCGTGCCGACGGACATGCCGCGCCGCAGCCATTGCACGACGAGCTCCTTCCCCTCCATGTCTTTCGGGAAATTGTCCACCCCGTGCACGTGCATAGCCACCGTGCACTGCGCCTTCTTGCTCCCCACGCGCCCTAACAGCCGGAACGGCGCGAACGACTCGAGGAAGCTCGGCTTCTCCGGAACTTGCGGGATGACGAGGCTCTGGCTGAACTTGACCTGGTCAGCGAGCCAGGCTCGGAAGTCGACCGAAGCTAGGTTCGGTTCGTCCGTTGGCGGGTAGTGGCTGTACGCGTGGTTGTGAGTGAAGACGGCGACATTTTTGTTGAGGGTTTCGGCCGCGTGAACTCCTGCGTGAAGCACGCGGCTCGACTCCTTGGCGCTGATGCTGCGGCCGTGCAGCGCGAGGCCGGTTTTCCGCTGCACGCCCACCCTCGAGTCGTCCATCGCGAGAGGCGGCGCGACGGACTGATTTCTAGGATGGAAGGCTGGTTTCCGTCAGTCCGTCAGTCCTTACGCATTCTGCTAGTCATACTATGATATCAACTGATAGTCCACCGGAGAGATCTTCAAGAGACAAACGTTACGCGAGCATGACCTTGCGAGCTACATGAACGCGAGATGCGGAGACACTGATTCCTAGAGAATGTTGCATGTCCTGTCGAGTTTCGACGAGGGCGATGCGTGGAGAAAGCAACGACAGCCCACCGAAGTGTCTTTCTGAAACCAAGTGGGCAGAGACGAGAAGCTCTCCTGTTCTCGAGCGTGTAACGACAGGAGACTAGGAAAAGCTGTGGTGTGGAATGGAAGCCATGGCGGGGTGCTCGCTTTGCTTGGCCAACCACTTACCCGTGCGGTTCAGCACTGTTCTGCGTGGTCAGGGTGTTTCAGATCTGACTGTGCAAGATGCCGAGGGTAGTTAGGGGAAAAACAAATCAGGTGCAGAGAAACGGACACGTATGGCGCAGGCTCGTTATGTGATGCGGGAAAACAGACAGGTTCGGTAACAGTTTGATAGCTCTAAGCTGGCTCGGAAAATGGCCTGGTAGGAATTTCCGAGTGTCATTGTTCATCGTGATTCGCTGTTGCCTTTGGCTGGTTGCGGCTTGGAGTGACGAATCGCATCTGCTGATTCTTTTGTCTGCCCGCAAACTGCGCAAGAGGCACTGCTGCCACCAGTCATCTCGTCTCCCCAGAGCTCACTTCCGCGCCAAGGGGAGCCCGAGCCATGTTTGACACCCCCAAAGCTGCAGCTCCGGCCTGGTTGGAGACGTGCGGCACGTAGGTTTCGAGCCTAACCTTCGGTTTGTGGGAGCCTTCTGACATGCCGCACCCAACTTTTCTTGGCATAGAAGGTGCTTGGCGAAATTTGATGTGACGGGTGACACCCAGACGCTTGCGCCAAGCGTCGTCCACTTGACAGGCGGTGCACTTGGCATGCGAACCTTCTTCAGACCTTTTCGCAACGGCCGTTTCGGTTGCTCGCGCAAGGGGAAATGGACTTAGAGCACCCAAGCAATTGTTTCGTAGTAACCCGTCTTGGTATGCAGTATCTTTCTGCTTTTGGACGTTCGGCATCAACAAATCCATGAGCGACGACGTGGTTTAGAGCGTGTTACGTACCCCTTATTTTGGGGCCTGGTCGAGGTTGCCTCGAACGGTCGAGTTGGGTTGAACGTAGGGTTACCAGATTACCCTAGTGTGTACAGTGTACAGTAAAGGACGTGCGTACCAGGACCGGTCACACTCGGTCGAGGCGACCAGTTAGTCAAGCAACCAGTTGGTCCCGCCCACACACAACCAGGTCGAGGCAACCAACATGCAAACGTACCAACCTGCTGCGCAAACGTACACGAAAACATTGCGGGCAGGTTGCGTTATCTAAAGTCGACGTGATTAGTGCAAGAAAATTTTCATCTAAGGTAGGCCAGTGAAAATGACGCCTGACTGTTGGGTCTGCCCCAGATACTATTCGCGTGGTTGGGTCCCGAAAACAAGCGGGTGGTACAATTGCAGGTTGCCTTGTGGGTACCCAACCGCCCACCGGTCGACCCGACCAGTCAGGTTGGGTCGACTTTTGCATGCAACCGGGCCCTGCCACCAAGTTAAGGGGTACGTAACACGCTCTTACGAACTCGCACTCTTCGCCACAGTCGTCTTGTTTCAACTTATCATAGTCGCAGATCCGCTTGTAACCATCTCTGTAGCATGTTTCAGAATTCCAATTCGAAATCATGAATCGTGAAAGCTAGACCACGACCAGAACGGGTAAAATAACTAGCCCATCAACGAGATTCTGGGATGGAGGTGGTTCTCGCCTGCTCCTCATGGATTCCTTGCGTCTAATATGACGCCGCATATCCCGCCAAATGGTTAGCCCAAGAGCCACTCGATGGCAAAACCGCCTTCCGCACGCACTTCGCCTGCGCGTCAGCGCCTGCACTGAGTCCCAAGCGCATTCTTCCCGCATCCCCTGCTTGCTGAGGTTCTTCATTTTCTCCGCCGTGTGTACCCTAGCCTACATTGGCGGTGTGATTCCACACTCTAGACCAGCGCCGCCAAAACCTTCGACACGCTACGATCTTCCTGGAGGATTCGGAAGAGTGATTTCTTCGGACGAGGCGATTTCTACCCGCGACGGAATCTCGTTGGATTCATCGTGGGATCTGCGCGATGACGAGGTGCTGCCTGGAGTGTCGCACGCGCGACTGGCGAAATGGCGAGCCTCCGCCGCGCGATCACGGCTGAGCGCCGCAGCTGACGCTGATACCACGGCTAGAGCTACACCGGTTGACGCCGCTCGAGCCGACGACGAAGCTTCCTATTCTGACCGCAAGGGAAAGCGTGAAGGTGGTGACGAGCTGTGCGGCTGGCCGGCTCCCGCTGCTCCTGCGCGCGAGACGGAGGAGGGGTTTCAGGGGGACTCGGTGTGGTACAGCACCAACGGCAGCGAGTGGATGCAGCACGGATATCTGGAGATGCTTCTAGCGGAGATGGCAGGGCGCAGAGGGGGACAAGCGGGGATTGCGGGGGACGAATCGGAGGTGAGAGGGAGGATGAAGGTCGGAAGGTGCAAAGATGGATTGATATATAAAATACGTTGGTTGAGCTTCTGCCTTGGCTCTCGTGTTGGCTCTGTTTCAGTCCCAAATCTTGTTTTCTCTTTCCGCCCGTCAACCTTTATTTCTCTCCCTTCCCTCTCCTCCAGGCTGTATGCGTGGCGGTGTATCTGCCACCCCATTGGTTCCCCTGCTCCGGCTCGCCAGCTGGCTGCCAGCTGGCGGTGTGGGTCCGCCCTGCGTCGTCCGACGTGGCGCTGCTCTACCATCTGCTCGACACGCGCGCCTTCCGCTTCCTGCGCCCCTCGCTGCTGCCCCACTTCCGCCCGTCCGCCATCCTTGATGCGGGCGCCAACATCGGCCTTGCGTCCCTCATCTTTGCCCTGCGGTATGCTGGGATTTAGATATGAATGTACGATGTGATTCATCTATTCAACTGTGAATATATGGCACATGCTGCTGACACATGCCCCACCATCGTCAACTCATTTCTTGCTCTCTTTCTTTCAACCACCATCCTTCTCTCTTCCCGTTGCGTGGCGTCTCCCCTCCACTTTTCTCCCCCAAGCAGCTCCCCCCGTGCGCTCATAGTAGCAGTGGAGCCAGCGCGGGACAACTTCGCGCTGCTTGCTCATTGCTTTCTCCTTGCCTCCATCATCCCCCTCCTGCCTTGCCCCCTCCCCCAAGCAGCTTCCCCGGTGCGTTGATAGTGGCAGTGGAGCCGGCGCGGGACAACTTTGCCCTGCTGCAGCGCAATGTGAAGCACCTCCCCCGGATACTGCCAGTCAATGCCGCCCTCTGGTCGCACGACACCCGGATAGCCGTCACTGCGGGCCGCAGGGAGGGCTTCTGGGCGTACGAGACACACGCGTGTGGGGAGACGCAGCAGGCACATGAGCAGCAGGAGAAACAGCAGCAGCTTGTGCAGCAGCAGCAGCAGGACGATCATCACCAGCAGCAGCAATCCAGCACGCATTTCCAGTCACAGCCATCCTCTGCTTCTTCCAGCCACTCACCTGCCTCCCCCTCCCCTTGCATGCCAGCTGTCTCGGTGCCGTCGCTGCTGCAGCGCGTGCAGCTGCCACGCTTTGACTATGTGAAGATTGACATTGAGGGCGCTGAGAAACAGGTGTTCTGCTCCGCAGCAGCAGCAGGAGCAACAGATGCAGCAGCGGGGGGGTGGCAGCATGATGGGGAAGTGTTTTCATTGGAGGTGCATGAGGACTTGGCGCCGGGGATAGGCGCGTGCATGGAGGGGGTGTATCCGCGCACACGGTATGACGTGCGCACATACGGTGAGAACACTGTTTACTTCAGCCCCCACGTGTGGGTGCATGCGCTGAAGCCGCTGGATCTGAGCGTGCGATGAGCAAGGCGGACTGTTTTGCCACCAGAGGGTTTGGTGTTTCCACGCACACGGTATGACGTGCGCACATATGGCGAGAACACTGTTTACTTCAGCCCACACGTGTGGGTGCATGCGCTGAAACCGCTGGATCTGAGCGTGCGGTGAGGGTAGGAGGAGTGTGCTACTGCCAGGGGGGTTTGGTGTATCCGCGCACACGGTATGACGTGCGCATGTACGGAGAGAACACACCTTGTATTTCAACCCACACGTGTGGGTGCATGCACTCAATGTCAAAATATATGTATGCTATATATGTTTAGGCTGTAGTGGGGTAGCCAATATGAGGTACAGCCCCTTTTAGGGTTTCATACTTGTACCCAACACTTTCCTAGTTCATTCATTCCTGCCTAGCATTCTCAACATGGTTTCAGAGCAGTAGGTCCGTAGGACCGTTTCTCTTAGGGCCCACCTACCGTTGCGGTTACTGAGCTGCCCCACCTGCCTTGCCTGCCTTGCCTGCGCTGCGCCTCACGCACGCGCCCTGCCTTGCCTGCGCTGCGCTGCCCGTGCGCGCGGCCCTTCTTTTTTCCGCGCGCGCCGCTTCAGCCGCCCGCGCAGCCCGCTTAGGCCCCGCGAGACGCCCGCTTAGGCCCCGCGCGCCGCGTCCGCCGCCCGTGCAGCCTGCTGCGGCCCTGCGTGCTGCTTAAGCCGCCCGCGCGCAGCCCGCTTAGGCCCCGCGCGCCGCGTCCGCCGCCCGCGCAGCCTGCTGCGGCCCCGCGCGCTGCGTTCGCCGCCCGCGCGCAGCCTGCTTAGGCCCCGCGCGTCGCGTCCGCCGCCCGCGCGGCCTGCTGCGGCTCCTTGCGTCGCGTCCGCCGCCCGCGCAGCCCGCTGCTGCCCCGCTAGCCGCCTTAGGAGCGCGCGCGGCCCGCTGCTGCCCCGCGCGCCGCCGTAGGAGCTAGCGTGCGGCCCGCTGCTGCCCCGCGCGCCGCTGTAGGTGCCCGCGAGCGGCCCACTGCTGCCCTGCGCGCCGCCCTAGCCACTTGCGTGCCGCCCCAGCAGCTAGTGCGCCGCCACTGCAGCCTTGCACGCAGTTTCTCCTGGCCTGCACTCTACTTTGCCGCTTGCGCGCTACTCTTGCCTACACTGCAATCATGGCGACGCTTAACATTCTTGCTTTCGATCCTGACGGTCGCCCGATAGAGTTTACCACCTGGCTCGATGACCTGCAACTGTTTCTTCTGACTGATGCCAAGGACGGGGTTTCACTGTTCGATTACGCGTCTGGCACTGCTGTTGCTCCTGCTGACACTGCTCTTACTCTCGACCGCTCACAGTGGCAGACCCGCGATGTTGCTGCGCGCCTCGCTATTCGCAATCATCTGCCGATCACAGAGCGCGCGCATTTTAGCCAGCATAAGACGGCCAAGGCACTGTACGACGCTGTAGTTGCCCGCTACTCTTCCCCGGCCACTGCAGCTCTAGGTCGCCTTATGCTACCCTACATGTTCCCCGACCTGTCCTCGTTCACCACTGCTGAGGACCTCATCTCTCACCTGCGCACTAGCGACGCTCGCTTTCGTACTGCCCTCTCAGACGAGTTCCTCGCCCAGAATCAACCCCCGATGTACTTTACTCTCTACTTCCTACTCACCCGCCTCCCTGACACTCTTCGCTCCGTCAGGGACCACTTTCTCGCACTAGACCCTACCACTCTCACTGTCGACGACTTCGAGAAGCACCTCCTAGCAGCAGAAAATAACATTCTCGCTGTAGGTGCTGCTCGTGGCACTCCTCGCACTCCCCTCTTTGAGGGGTGCTCTCCCTCCCCTCTTGCCCCCTCCTACGCCTCCGCTGCTGCTGCTCTCGACTACCTTGGTGCTGAGGAGGTCGGGGCTGCTTCCGCTCCTAGTGGGAAGCGCCGCAGTGCCAGGGGCGGCAAGGGTGGCAAGGGGGGTGGGGTTGGCGGTGGAGGGGGCGGTGGTGGAGGCAGCGGGGGAGGTGGAGGTAGTGGGGGTGGTCGTGGGGGTGGAGGTGGTGGTGGGGGCGGCGGTGGCACTGGGAGCGGTGGGGGTGGCAGCGGCGGTAGTGGGGGAGGAGGGAGCAGTGGTGGTAGCGGCGGTGGGGGCTGGAGTGGATCCGGCCAGAAGGGAAGCTCCACTGGTGGCCAGGGACAGCAGCAGCAGCAGCAGCCGCCACAGCAGCAGCAGCAGCAACAGCGTCAGCAGCAGACCCCCCCCCCCCCCCCCCCTTCAGCAGCTTCATGACTGGTATGCTCAGCGTGGGGCGTCTGGGGGGTCCTGTTCGCTGCCCCTATATCATTCGCACAGGCCCCCGCACTGGTCGCTCATGCAACGGCTCTCACACTGAGTATCGCTGCTTCTCCAGGCTTAGCGATGCATGGCGCGCCAAGTTTCCCGAGGCTACTGAGTTTCCCCACTGGGCAGACCTGTCTAGGCGTGGTGTTGCTATCTTTGATCTTGACTATGATGCAATTCTTGCTGCCATGTATGCATTGACTGTTAGTGCTGAGGGTGACTGCTACTTGTGTATGCCGCCTGACCCAGGTATAGAGTCTGCAGCCCTAGGTGCTAGCGAGTCTGCTCTCCCTGGTACTGCGTCCGCTCAGGCTTTGCACACCTTTACACTTGACTCTGGTGCTTCCCGCTGTTTCTTTCGCGATAGCACCACAGTCACTCCCCTCCTTGCACCTGTCCCTATCTCACTGGCTGACCCCTCTGGGGGCCCAGTGCTAGCACGGACCTCTATTGTGCTTCCGTGTCCGGCGGTCCCGTCTGGGGAGCTGTCTGGTCTCCACCTCCCCTCGTTCTCTACGAACCTGGTGAGCACCGCCGTCCTTCAGGATCACTGGGTTGACACCTTTACTCCTGGAGGACAGCGTGTGGCGATCTGCACGTGCTCTCGGACCGGCCGCCACCTGGCCACGTTCACACGTGCGCCTGGGTCCAATCTGTACACCCTCACCACTGCGTCGCGCTCCACCCCTTTGTCTCCTCAGCTGTACGCGTCCGCTCAGGTAGCTACCCAGTGTGAGTGTCGCAGCCTGTCGCACCAGACTCTCCTGTGGCACCACCGCCTTGGTCACCCCTCCCTGCCTCGCCTTCATGGCATGCACTCTCGCCACCTGGTCTCTGGTCTTCCTAGGTCTCTGCCCTCCCTCCCTCCCTCGCCTGCGCTGCCCTGCATTCCTTGCGTCGAGGGGCGGCAGCGCGCCGCTCCTCACTCCTCCTCGTTCCCTCCCACAGAGGCTCCACTGCAGACTCTCCACCTGGACGTGTGGGGCCCAGCCCGCGTCCGTGGAGAGAGCCACGAGCGGTACTTCCTGCTGGTAGTCGACGACTACACGCGTTACACCACTGTCTTCCCCTTGCAGCGCAAGGGGGATGTCCCTGATGTTTTGATCCCTTGGATCCGCGCTGTTCGTCTCCAGCTCCGCGAGCGGTTCCACTCGGACTTTCCTGTCCTGCGTCTGCACTCCGACAGAGGTGGTGAGTTTACCTCCGACCTCTTGCGAGCCTACTGTGAGGAGCACGGCATCCGCTAGACGTTCACGCTTCCGGCCTCTCCGCAGCAGAATGGGGTTGCTGAGCGCCGCATTGGCTTAGTCATGGAGGTTGCTCGTACCTCCATGATCCATGCGGCTGCCCCCCATTTTCTGTGGCCGTTTGCGGTCCGGTACGCCGCGCATCAGCTCAACCTCTGGCCCCGTGTCTCCGTGCCGGAGACTTCGCCCAGACTGCGTTGGACGGGGGAGGTTGGCGATGCGTCGCGTTTCCGGGTCTGGGGTGCTCGTGCCTTTGTCCGCGATACCACTGCGGACAAGCTCTCCCCTCGCGCCATTCCCTGTGTCTTCCTTGGCTTTGTCCCTGACGCGCCTGGCTGGCAGTTTTACGACCCCGCCTCGCGCCGTGTCTTTCCGTCTCAGGACGTCACCTTTGACGAGTCGGTCCCCTTTTACCGTCTCTTTCCCTACCGCGCTGCCTCTCCCCCCCCCCCCCGCTGCTCTTTCTCGCTCCAGGTCCTCCCCAGGTAGACCCCCTCCCCGCTCCGGGTCCTGCTCCTTCAAGTGTGTCTCATGTAGACCCTCCTCCCTTGACTGAGCCGGTTGAGGTCACTGGTGACTCAAGTCCTGCTAGGGGTGGTCCTACTCGGGGTGCTGCTTCTGGGGGTGCTGAGCCTGGGGGTGTGGAGCCTGGAGGTGCTGAGCCTGAGCGTGAGGAGCCTGGGGGTGCTGAGCCTAAGGGTGCGGAGTCTGGGGGTGTTGCGCCTGGGGGTCCTGAGTCTGGGGGTACTGCGCCAAGGGGCGCTGAGGCGCCTAGTGTGCAGTCTCCTTGGAGCGGCCGCCTCCGTAGTCGCTCCGCTGGTGCCTCGCCGCAGCTCTCTCGTCGGCGTCTCCCTCTCTCCCCACATCAGCTGCGTGAGTGGTACGTTAGCCGTCAGGGTCGCACTGCTGGAGCTGGGGGCCCTGCTGCGGCCGGCGCTGGCGTTGGAGGCACTGGAGCTGGTGACTTAGCTACTGGAGGCGCTTCTACTAGAGCTACTGGAGTCGCTGGTCCCGGAGGTGCTCGTACTGGAGGTACTGGAGCTGCTGGGGCTGGTGGTTCTGCTGAGACTGGGGGTGCTGCTGCTTGTGGCGCTGGTACTGGAGGTACTGGCGCTGGAGGTTCTGGAGCTACTGGAGGTCCTGGAGCTGTTGGAGGTACTGGCGCTGGAGGTGCTGGCGCTGGAGGTTCTGGAGCTGCTGGAGGTGTTAGTACTGGAGGTGCCGGCGCTGGAGGTTCTGGAGCTGCTGGAGGTTCTGGAGCTGCTGGAGGTGCTGGTACTGGAGGTGCTGGCGCTAGAGGTCCTGGAGTTGTTGGCGGTGCTGGCGCTGGAGGCGCTGGACCTGGAGGTTCTGGAGCTACTGGAGGTGCTGGTACTGGAGGTGCTGGCGCTGGAGGTGCTGGTGCTGGAGGTGCTGGAGCTGCTGGTGCTGGTGGCGCTGCCCAGACGCGACTGTTCTT